AACAGTGGTGCATGTCTCCCCAGTATTTGACTCCTTCCCCCGAGTTTTTTTTCTGGCCCTTTTGACGCGTGAGCGGCGACGCGCCCTCAACGCTTCCTTTCTCTATTTCTGTCAAGTTCAGCCTGTAGCCGCGCGATCGTACTTCTCTAGCAGGAGGCGACTATTTCAAATCATCCTTACTTGCGTGGATGGGCAACACGTTATGTGCAAGGACGAGTGGGGCGAATCAAGTCGTCGATGTTATTACCCATCCGAACTTCGTGGGATACGAGTTTGATATTTCCGTATGAAGAGCAGCTTTATCCTGAACCTGGAAAATTTTAGAAATGGGGAATTTGCGAGGGTGTGATTTTGCCCTTTCCCCCCTTTTTTCCTAACCCTAGTCTGTCCCTGTATATATATTCTCTTTTGCCAGTTGAAAGAAGGGAAAGAAGGGTGGTCGGCTATTTATTTTGGTTATATATTTCCATGGATTTCTGAAAGATTGACAGGGGTTGTTAGTGTAGGGGGAGGCGCAAAACAACACAAGTAGGATACAAACCTACAAGGATCGACTTCAAGACAATCAACCAATTATACTTCACCCAATTTACCAAAAGAAATTCACCACTAAATTAACCAAGCTCAAATCAGCAACATATCAAAAAAAAATCACAAGCAAATATGAATAATAAATATGCAAGTGACACACGAGATTTATACGTGGAAAACCCCTTCGGTGTGAAGGATAAAAACCACGGGACTTGTAGGAGTCCACCCTTCTTCTTATCTTATTATGAAAATTGAGGGTAAAGACACCCAAATCAGTCTACAAGGATGTCACAGCCCACCAACAACAACATATATAAGAGCCAACACAAAAGAGAAGAGAAATTGGGAAATATCACCCAAAAAATGCAGGTTACACCAGCTGCAATAACAGACGATCAAGAGCTCCGATTGACGATCTGAACCATCAAGATGTAGTGCTATATGTTGTGAACCAGCTGTGAAAATTTCAGAACAATCCAACGGTCGGATCTCCGGAAAACTGAAATTTTGTCAAGGCTGTCCAGAAAATCTGCACTCAAACCCTCTCTCAAAAATCTGTTTCTCTCTCTCTATCACACACCCTCTCAATTTCTTCTTTTCTTCACGTCAAAAACCCCCAGAAGAAAACAGCAGCTCCCAAAGACTTCTAGAAGAAGTCAACAAAGCCCAAAACATATGGGCCACACATCAATAAGTGATTGGGCTTTCACTTAAAAAAATTATAACAAATGGGCTGGACCCTTAACAATCTCCCCCTCCAGCCCAGTTCGGGGAGACCAAACATAAAAGGTCATCAAGAAGACATACCTGCAAGCTTGGAACAAAATTCAAGCTTGCTTCCAGGGACCACCTTTGTCAACATATCAGCACCATTCTTGTTGGTGTGAATCTTCTTCAACTTCATTAGTCGCTCTTCAATGACAACACGCAACCAATGATATCTCACATCAATATGCTTTGTGCGAGCATGGTACATGCTGTTTTTGCTCAAGTCCATAGCACTTTGACTATCACAAAATACAACATACTCACTTTGCTTCAAACCTAACTCTTGAAGGAAACGCTTTAACAAAGGCATTTCTTTGCTTGCTTCCACTGCTGCTATATATTCTGCCTCGGTTGTAGACAACGCTACACACTTCTATAGCTTGGATTGCCATGAAATGGCTCCCCCTGCAAATTTGAACAAGTAACCCGAGGTAGACTTCCAGTTATCAAGATCTCTAGCCATGTCAGCATCCGTAAATCCCTCAAGAATAGGCTCACCACCTCCAAAACACAAACTCAGATTTGATGTGCCTCGCAAATATCTTAAGATCCACTTTACAGCTTCCCAATGAACCTTGCTCGGATTTGCCAAGTATCTGCTAACCAATCCAACAGCATGTGCTATATCCGGTCTTGTACACACCATGGCATACATCAATGAACCAACAACAGAGGAGTAAGGAATATGAGACATACTTTCCTTTTCTTTCTTGGTTGTAGGACAACAACGCTTGCTCAACTTGAAATGGGCTGCAAGTGGTGTATTAACTGGCTTGGCATTCTTTATATTGAACCTTTCAAGCACCCGTTCAATATACTTTTCTTGTGACAACCAAAGCTTACCAGTTTTTCTATCACGAGCAATTTCCATACCAAGAATTTGCTTCGCAGGACCCAAATCTTTCATATCAAAGGACTTTGACAAATCCTCTTTCAACCTGCAAATCATCTCAACATCTTGTCCCACAATCAACATATCATCAACATACAAGCAAAGGATAATGAAGTTACCTTCAGAGAATTTTCTAAAATACACACAAGGATCTGCAGTAGTTCGCTTGTACTCATTACTACTCATGAAGGAATCAAACTTGTGATACCATTGCCTTGGTGCTTGCTTGAGTCCATAAAGACTCTTTTTCAACTTGCAAACAAAATTATCTTTTCCCTTAACTTCAAATCCTTCCGGCTGCTCCATGTAAATCTCCTCATGCAAATCACCATGTAAGAAAGTAGTTTTAACATCAAGTTGTTCAAGTTCAAGATTCAAACAGGCAGCTAGTCCCAAAATCATACGAATGGAAGTCATCTTCACCACCGGTGCAAAAATCTCATCGAAGTCGATGCCCTTTTTCTGATGGCATCCCTTCACCACTAATCTTGCCTTCCGCTTCACTAGCTTGTTGCCATCTTTCTTGTTCTTAAACAACCACCTGTTTTTCAAGAGTTTCTTCCCTTTTGGAGGCTTCACCAAGTCATAGGTTTCATTCTTCTTCAAAGAATTCATCTCCTCTTACATAGCCTTGAGCCAATGGTCTTTGTCTGAATGTGACAAGACCTCTTGAAGGCTTTCAGGCTCCCCCTCATCAGTGATTAGGATGTATTCTGAACTTGGATAAAGTCTTGAAGGTTGACGAACTCTGGTTGATTTTCTAAGTGTTGGCTCTTCTACCTGTGGGCTGGATTTCTCCCCCTGATTAGAAGACTCTCCATGTTGAACATCTACAGCTTCATCATCAGGTTGTGGTACAACAACATCAGGTTGTACCTCTTCAATATGGTCATGTTCATGAGCAATTTCATGACCATCCTCTGGAGCATCACCTGTTAATTGATCATCTGAAGCAGAAACATGAGGCATGGGCATATCAATAACATCATGAGAGAAATTAGAATAATAAGTCTTATCAGCACCAAAGAGATGAAAACCCATCTCGTGCTCATAAAAGACAACATCTCTACTTCTCACAACTTTTTGCTTTGCTGGATCATAAAGTCTATAACCAAACTCTTCATCACCATATCCAACAAACATACAAGGAGAAGTCTTGAAATCAAGCTTCAATCTATGTTCCTTCGGCACATGCATAAAAGCCTTGCATCCAAACACCCTCAAGTGAGAATAAGAGGGGTCTTTCCCAAACCAAACTCTCTCGGGAATCTCAAACTCCAAAGGAACTGATGGTGCTCTATTTATCAAATACACAACAGTTCCAACTGTTTCACCCCAAAATGACTTAGAAAGATTAGACATTCTAAGCATGCATCTCACTTTCTCAATAATGGTTCTGTTCATCCTCTCGGCAACGCCATTGTGTTGTGGGGTACCCGGTTCTGTTCTCTCATGTCGAATGCCATATTTTGAGCAATATGCTTTAAACTCTATTGAAGTGTATTCACCTTCATTATCAGTTCGAAGACGCTTCAGTTTGCAATCTGTCTCCCTTTCAACCATTGCATGAAACTTCTGGAAGATACCGAACACCTCACTTTTGTGCTTCATCATATAAACCCAAGTTCTCCTAGTAGCATCATCAATAAAAGTAACAAAGTATTTGTTACCACCAAGTGATTCCACTTCTATGGGACCACGCACATCAGATTAAACCAACTCTAACTTCACTTTCTTTCTTGTAGATGTCCTCGGAAAAGAAACTCTGTGTTGCTTTCCTGCTGAACAATGATCACTAGGGTCAAGTGAAATAGTAACATCAGCAGGAATAAGAGATTTACCGGCCAACAACTTTATACCCTTCTCACTAACATGACCCAATCTTCGGTGCCATAAGTTAGGAGAAGTTTTCTCCTCAATAGCATTCAACTCACCACTACACACTTTCAAATGTGTCTTATACAAGGTACAACAAAGCTTGCCACGAGCAACAGTCAAGGAACCCTTAGACAATTTCCATTTACCCTCACCAAAAGTGTGCTTGTAACCCTCTTTATCAAGTACATTAGCAGACAATAAATTGAGGCGTAGATCTGGAATGTGGCGAACATCTCTCAACATCAAATAGTACCCAACATTGGTTTGGACTCGAATATCTCCAATGCCAACAATACTTGCTGAGCTCTGGTTCCCCATCTTCACACTACCAAAATCTCCAGCTCGGTAGTCAATAAAGTACTTGTTGACACCCAATTTTGACCGACCTTTGACCATGTTTAGGAATACTATTCAATTAAGTACGTATTTTATGTTATGCCCGAGAATGCCAAAATACATTATTGCATGCGCTCGATATTTTATGTGCCCGAAGAAACACATTATTGCATGTGCTCGATATTTCATGTGCCCGAGGAAATACATCATCGCATATGCCCAATATTGACTTATGCTCGAAGAATTGCATTATTGCATGCGCTCGATATTTTATGTGCCCGAAGAAATACATTATTTCATGTGCTCGATATTTCATGTGCCCGAGGAAATACATCATCGCATTAGGGCTAGGGTTCCGTGCCCGAGGAAATGCCCTACCTCTGGCTCAATGAGGTTCCGTGCATTTAGGGCATTTATCTCAAAACAACGTGTTGATATTATGATATTATCCTAACCCCTAACTCTTTTCTTTTGATTCTATTGTTTTCCCATTTCCCAAGGTTGATCTGTCCTTCATCCTGGCACATACACGATCAAAAAGGGACCCCCCCCTTCTCCTTCTTCTCAAAGAGCAAGCTCAAAAGACAAAGGAAAAATGGTTGACGACAACAGAACCACTGAAAGGGTAGAAGCTTCTGAGGGAGGACAACCTCATAGTAATCTTATCCTAAGACTCGAGCGCAAGATTTCGCAATTGAAAGAAGAGGTAGCCAGCATGCGTGATTTGGCCAAGTTGTCTATCTCTCTTGGAACATAATTTGGAGAAAACATAGACAATCCTCCTAATCAAACAGCCACGCCAGACAATACTCCAATCCATATATCCCCACCTGAACCCACTCGTCCAAATGCCTTTCCACTACCCCATGCCCAAAATACCCAATTTCTATTTCACCACTATTACCAACATACCAAACCAATTGTCCCAGAAAAAACCCCAAACACAAATATCCCATATACTTTTGGGAACAACAATCCCGATCCCATATACGTTGAAACTGCTCCTCTGACTCATGGCTTCTATGAATCAGAGTCCCATCAGAAAGACATCCTAATAAAAACCCTAACTGAGAGATTAGACAATTTGACCAACAGGGTACAACACGTGGAAGGAAACAAAAAGTTGGGAGGATTGGGCTATGAGGATCTGTGCATGCATCCTGATGTGGAACTGCCCGAAGGATACAAGCTTCCGAAGTTTGAGACGTTCAATGGCATTGGGGATCCCAAAGCCCACCTACGAATGTATTGCGACAAACTTGTAGGGGTGGGGAGAGATGAGAGGATACCCATGAAGTTGTTCATGAGGAGTCTTACTGGGGAGGCCCTATCATGGTACATTGAGCAAGACTCGCGGAAATGGATAAAATGGGTTGATATGGCAACTGACTTCATGAATAGGTTTGGTTTCAATATTGAAAATGCGCCTGATTGGTTTTACATTCAGAACCTAAAGAAGAAACCGACTGAATCCTTTAGAGAATATGCCATAAGATGGAGGTTTGAGGCGGCTAGGGCCAGACCCCCTATGGAAGAATCTCAAATGAAAGACTATTTCATCTGTGCCCAAGAACCACAATACTATGACCGAATGATGCTGGTGGCTGAAAAGAGTTTCGCTGAAATCATCAAACTAGGCGAAAGAATTGAAGAAGGCATAAAAAATGGGACTATCATCAACTTGGAGGCTTTACAAGCAACCAACAAGGCTCTGCAATCTGGTGGAATGACAGAGAGTCGAAAGAAAACAGGTTCTGTAATGATGGCTCATGGAACTAGGACCCCTTTGAGGCACAAGACAACAAACCCACCACCATCCCCATACCCTCACACCCCATACCTTCACACCCCATACCCTCAACATCCCTCAGCTCCACCCCCTATATCTCCCCAACCCATGCCAATATATTACCAAAATGCTCCTCCTCAATATTTGCATGCCTCATATCCTGTCTATAATGTTCAACCAACACACTTCCAAACTCCACCACCCACTCAAACACCAAATTACCGAAATAGACCTTCCTATGAAAGAAGACCTACAAAAACCTATACCCCTTTGGCTGAACCCATAGCACAACTTTATGAGAGACTGAAACAGGCTGGGTACGTCTCTCCAATTCCTGCATTACCTGTGGATGTTCGCGCGAAATGGTACGACCCTAACAAGGTCTGCGCCTACCATTCTAGAATGAAGGGCCACACTACCGAAGTTTGCAGAGCCCTTAAGGATAAGGTTTAAATGTTGATTGATACAAAAACCATCCAACTGAAGGATCCTACACCGAATGTTGCAAATAATCCTCTCCCTAACCATCAAGTCAACATGGTGGAAGCTGGTGATGTCTGGGATTGGGAAGAATCTATCTGGGCCGTCGAAACAGAAGAAGCCATGCCTACCACTGCCCAAGCACCACTAATAGTGCAAGGACTCGCCCCATTTGAAGTAGAAGTTGCTGCACCCAGACCACCATTGGCTGTCTATAAGGCATCCTCCCCAATACAATGTGACACACATGCTGTACCTTGGGATTACAACAAAAGAGAAACAAATGTGGAAGAGACAGATGTTGCAACAGGGGTCACCAGGTCTGGAAGAATTTACACTTCTGAAAATTTGGTTCAGGGAAGCTCTGGCAAATCCAAAGCGCCAGTCATAGAGCTCGAGGATCAAAGTATTTGGAAAAATGTTAAAGCTAAAGAATACTATGTCATTGAGCAGCTGAGTAAAACCCCTTCCCAAATATCAATTCTGGAGTTACTACAATCTTCCGAAACTCATCGAGATGCCCTTCTGAAGATCCTTGGTGAAGCTTATGTCCCGTCTAACATCACTCATGGAGAGGTATCCCAAATGGTGGGGCAGGTCTTTGAGGCTTACAAAATATCTTTTCACAAAGATGAGCTGCCAATCGAAGGAACAACTCACAATAAAGCTTTGTACATTTCGGTTCAGTATCAAGATAAGGTGATAAACAAAGCATTAGTTGATGTAGGTTCAGGTTTAAACATTTGCCCTCTGAGCACACTGACGAGACTGGGTGTGGATAGTGCAAAAATTCAGACATGGAAGATGAATGTGAGGGCATTTGACGGCTCTCAGAGAGGCACTATTGGGGAGATAACCTTGGACATGCTCATTGGTCCTGTCACTTTCCCCATAGCTTTCCAAATTTTGGACATCCCTTCATCGTACAACTTATTGTTGGGTCGTCCGTGGATTCATATGGCTGGAGCGGTTCCATCTACTCTTCACCAATGCCTGAAGTTTGAATGGGATTACGAAGAGGTTGTAGTCCATGGGGAAAAAGGGCATCCTGTATACACGATTGAAGGAAGAGAGAATATGGATGGCAAAATGTACCATACAGTGGAGCTTGTTGGTAATATTGAGTTGCAACCTTGGTTCAGCCAAAAAATCATAGATATGATGGCCTGGTTCGGTTTCGAGCTTGGGAAAGGTTTGGGGGCTGAATTACAAGGGATAGTCGAACCTATACAGCCTGTTCGACATTCCACCACTTTTGGTTTGGGTTATAAATACACCACCGAAGAATGGCTCGATTGGCGACCACCTAGAGATGGGTTCTACTACCCATTGAAGAAACCCATACCGCCATTGTATCAATCATTTCGATCAGCAGGTTTCATGGAAGACAATATTGATGAGATCTCAGACGACTTGAAGGGGTCATCGCTAACCAAAGAAGAGGGGAAAGTTTGCAACGTCGTGATCAACGAGGAGGAGAAAGGGGGCCCTAGTGGAAGCAAGGAGGCAAAGATCAGCGTCAGCAACTGGACCTCGACTCCATCCAGACCTCGTCGAGCATCTGGGTAGCCTTGGAAGATGTTTTTCTATCAAGTTTTAATTCAAATAAAGGAGTTTTTAATAAATGTTTTAATTCCCGTCCCATGTATTGCTTTCGAATGAGGACTTATGAAATTTTCAAATCTTTATCAATAAAGTTCTTTTCCCCATTTTTTTGTCTTGTATTTAATTTTTGCTATTTTTTTTTCTCACCAGCAAAATTCATTATAAAAATGTAGAATCTGAGACTGTGGCATACAATGAGGCTGCTCAGCTTAACCTTAATGACTTAGAAGAAGTCGAAGACAATGAGGTTCCCGAGGAGTTAATTAAAAGGGTTGAGGAATTCGAGGAAAAACCCAATCCAAATTTGGTAGAGACAGAAGTGGTGAATTTGGGAAATGCAGAGGTGATACAAGAAACCCGAGTAAGCATCCATATGACAAAAGAAGACAAGAAAGAGTATACCGAGTTTCTCATAGAGAATAAGGATATTTTTGCGTGGTCCTACGCAGACATCACAGGGCTAAGTACTGCAATCGTAGCCCATCGACTACCCACTGATCCAGCATGTCCTCCGGTAAAACAGAAGCTGAGAAAATACAAGCCCGAGATGAGTTTGAAAATCAAAGAAGAAGTATCAAAGCAATTAGATGTTGGGATACTCCAAGTGACAGAATACCCAACTTGGCTTGCAAATGTCGTTCTAGTGCCCAAGAAAGACGGCAAGGTCAGAGTTTGCGTGGATTACCGAGATCTCAATAAAGCTAGCCAAAACCTATCAATTCAGATTCTGTGAAAAAGTATTACATCTAGAGATTGATCCATGCTCTTTTGTAATTTGGAACTACGTCAGACCTGATTCCCATTTAAGAGGGGATACGTAGGCGCTCCTATGGGGTTCGGTCTTATTATAAATAAAACTTTCATTTCCCCCTTTTCTATTGATAACTGGGGCAGAATTTTTGAGAGGATCTCAAAAATTCCATTAAGATTTCTCCTGGCACATCTTCATACTGGGGCAGAAATTTTGAGTTCACCGAAAGTTTCTTCTCAACAAGCAGTCAGCTTACAACGAAGATTAAATGATAGCTCTACTTTTGAGTCAGACGTTGTAAAGTCTCAACCTATGCCATGGTCAAAGATTCGACATCAGCTTTTATTAAAAATCTTTCAAAGCTTGTTTTTATTTTTTTTCTCTCCTTTCCCCCTTTTTATGAAAAAAAAAACAGACGCTCGAAGAGGTGTGGATGGCAAGTCAAAGGAGCACGCTGCGTCAAATCATGGATACAGATCAACCTTCCCCCCTTTAAACTAACTATTTTTCTTTGAATGTAGAAAATACAGGTACATATACAAAGGCAACTGCAACAATCAACATCACCACATTTGAGCCGACACATGACACTCGGTCCTTCCAATAAGGCGAACGCCCAAGCTACTATATGCCCTCAATGCAACTGCTGTGCTGACAAATCACATTATGCCCGATATTGCATCATTTTGCACCTACGCCTGATATCACACTATGCTCAAAGAACTACATCATTATGTTATGCTCGAGAATGCCAAAATGCATTATTGCATGCGCTCGATATTTTATGTGCCCGAAGAAACACATTATTGCATGTGCTCGATATTTCATGTGCCCGAGGAAATACATCATCGCATATGCCCAATATTGACTTATGCTCGAAGAATTGCATTATTGCATGCGCTCGATATTTTATGTGCCCGAAGAAATACATTATTGCATGTGCTCGATATTTCATGTGCCCGAGGAAATACATCATCGCATATTCCCAATATTGACTTATGCTCGAAGAATTGCATTATTGCACGCGCTCGATATTTTATGTGCCCGAAGAAACACATTATTGCATGGGCTCGATATGTCATGTGCCCGAGGAAATACATCATCGCATGTGCCCAATATTGACTTATGATCGAAGAATTACATTATTGCATCCTCTCGATATTTTATGTGCTCGAAGAAATGCACCATTACATATGCTCGATACTGCATGTGCCCGATATTACATTGTGCTCGAAGAAGTGCATCATTGCATTGTGCTCGATATTGCATGTGCCCGAAGAAATGCATCATTGCATGTGCCCGAAGAAATGCATCATCGCATTGTGCCCGCAGTTTGCATAAGCTCAAGATTGCATCGTGCTCGAAGTTTACATGTGCCCGAATCAAATCAAGTCATAAGTATCAACAGATGTCAAAAACAGATATGCTCTCTTTACTCATTACTGATATCCCAAAGGCGTCATCCTTCAAAGGCATCATCTTTCATGGCCTGCGAACTTCATGTCATGGCCCGAGGACTTATTTTATGCATATCATGTTCCTAAGGCGTCATAGTCTAAAGGCATCATCCTCATGGCCTGCGGACATCATATCATGGCCTAAGGGTTTAATTTCTGTCTATCATAATCCGAAGGTGTCATAGTCTAAAGGCGTCATTTTCATGGCCTACAGACAACATTTTCATGACCTGAGGATACACCCTGCATATCATGGCCCTAGACATCATAGCCTAAGACGTCATTTTGCATGGTCTTAAGGCAAACATTCATGGTTAATATGGGAAATTGCATCATGTTTACATTTACCGCTTTTTCTGCTCTAATTACTCTACTACAAGTTACAGTTATGCTGATTACAGACAAAGCTGCTTTCTGAACGGCTATTCCCTCGCTTACAAACAAAGGCTCCGACAAATTCTTGGCTACTCGCACTATCGTTTCACTACTCATCTATCATTCAGGCTGCCATGAAGATATCTTCGGATTCAACTTGCCACTGTGACTTTCTATGTCTTCAGCTAGGCTCGTCCGCCTTACAATGGGACATCTAGGCTCGTCCGCCTTACAATATGACATCTAGGCTCGTTCGCCTTAAAATAGGACATTTAGGCTCGTCCGCCTTACAATGGGACATTTAGGCTCGTCCGCCTTAAAACGACATTTAGGTTTGTCCATCTTATGGGACATTTAGGCCGTCCACCTTAAAAGGGACATTTAGGCTTGTCCACCTCATAGGACATTTATGTTTGTCCGCTTTATAAGATATTTAGGCTGTCCGCCTTAAAACGACACTTAGGCTCGTCTGCCTTAAAACGACGTTTAGACTTTCCTTATAACTAGAGATTTTCGTCTACTGTTATATCTTTATAGTATCAAATCTATTGGAGTTTGACGTCATTCTTCAGAGATGGGTTCAATCCTTCGAGAAGTTGAAGACTATCAAGGCTTGCACTTCGTCTCAAATAGATATGTTTCATCACCTCTTTTCTATTTAGAACTCATATTTTATTATTATTGGTCATACTTTATCTATTTAAGCTAACATTTTATCTAGAATTTGCAGATATGATCGATCGCCCTTGATTACAATCATCACGCTATCCTCTATCACAACAATG